TAAAATTGCCTAAAAGTACACTCAAAAAATCCCTCAACGTTCACCATATCTGCATCCTGAAAAAAATGAAGTATGCGGTAGCATATTTTTCAAAAAATACGGGAAAATTTCTATCAAAGCTCCAAATTGCTAGCTTTCTTAAGTGTTATGAGTGAAAATAATATTTCCCTAGCCCCCTCCAACTTCTCAGTCATGTGCACAACGCACTCACAAACAACATTTTTTAACATGCATTATAACAAAACAGACAACATGTACAGCGAAACAACGAAATGACGCTTATATGATTCCAATTTTGTTTGCCACATCCAAAGCATCGTAGTCAGGTGCTAGGCGTACATAAGCTTTCTTCGCATGTTTCGGTGTTATTAAGGTGTTTACCTAAAAAGACGCGCAAACAAGTTATGAAAGTATTGTGGAAAAAACAACATTACCCAAAAGGAAGTTGGGTCACGCAACAGACCTTCTGAACATCGATGTTGTACAGCCTTTTCACAGCATTCTTAATCTGGGGCTTATTAGCACGGACGTCCACAATAAAAACTAGCGTATTTGTATCTTCAATTTTCTTCATCGCCGACTCTGTTGTGAGGGGATGCTTAACGATTGCGTATGCATCAAGCTTATGCCGTTTCGGAACAGATTTTCTCGGGTACTTTGGCTTACGAGGTAGCTTCAAAGTATCGGGACGGTAAAAATGTACGGAAGTCCTCACCTGAAGAAAGAATTAATTTATATAACAGCCATTTCTTTACAAGGACATTGAACAAATATAGTAATATTTAATAATGCATAAGAACTTAATTTAGAAACAGTCTACACACGCAAAGTAAGAAGCAATCACCTTTCTTTTATGAACCCTGTGGTGGCCTTTCACAACTTCTTTCTTCGCATTTAACGCTTTTGCAACTTGAGATTTTGCAGTTTTTGCTTTTGGAGCTTTAGGTTTTTGGACCTTTGATTTCACAGGGGCTGCGGCTAAAATTATGAGTGAAGGTAGGCAGAACTGCTAAAATAGTGTAAAAAAGTGCAAAACTCATAAATATTGGCCAAAAACATTTCAAAAACTTTTATACCGCCCTGAAAAATGCTTACCTTTTTCAGTTTTCTTCACGACCGGTTTCGGTGCCATATTACCTAAACAGGAAGTTCTTTTAGAAAAAGAAGTGGCGAAACATTTTAAACCGTAAATATGCATTTTCCGTATTTGGAATGTTCAAGTGATTTCACGAACCTCAGCTCAATCATCTGTTTTAGAATACTACGTGTCTTCCAGAGACATATTTACCACTGTATGATACCAGACTCTTGGAGGTCACTACTAGTGTACGTCATCAAGATGCTTAAACTATTCTTAGAGTTACAGACCTGGCACTTAAAATCTGTTTCACATGCAGTAGGGGAACCAAAAAAAAGCCGATTTTCAAAAAGCAAGGCCCTTCAAGACCTCTGAATTAGTACAAGAGACCTCGTTTGCACATTTGCAAACTAGTCGAGAACTCAGTCAAGGTATCCACAGTTTAAAACCGACCAGTAACTGCACAAAAATAAAAACTTTCTTGTCAAGACAAGAAAAGTAAAACCTCACTATAAAAGAACAAAGTAATGAGGGAGCTCCTTAATTAAAAACTCGTAAATGAAAACCAAAAGGCTTTTTAACAGAGAAAGCTAATGAAAACGCGGACTCAGCTATCATTCACACACTTCAGCAAACTTTCCTTCTAGCAAAATCTCAACTTCCAGCCAGCCACAAGAAAAAAGCTATGGAACCCACCCACATCTCAATGTTGTAAAATGTGCCCAACCTTGGGAATTGAAACAGTCAAAACCAAGACACTACTTACTACGGAAAGGCTTCATAAAGAACGGCCAGAAAGTCAGAACCTCCAAAACCAAAACCCACCCACCCAATTAAACGGTGTCTACAAAAACACCCTACTCCTGCTAAAAAATTCTAAACGACAAATCCCGCACGATTTCTCTCACCCCTTTATCAAATCCAATATAAAAAAAACCTGTCCGGCAATCATTTTTACAAGGAGAACTAAACTGTTGACACGGACCAAAAATTCCCCCACCTCTCGCCACCCCCCTCATCGCCAAGCACGCACTGCAGGAGGAGGAACAACAAGAAGCCTGCCCCACTAAACTATCTTGGAGAAGCACAGCTTGCTATTTATAAAGAAAAGACGCAACTCCGCCTTCGAACGCAATGATGAAACAGCTGAAATCCAGGATCAAATAAGTTTACTCCTTTATGCAAAATGCCCTCCAGACGTGCAGTATATAAAGGGAAAGAGCATCTCCTTCAACATAAGTACACAACTTAAACAAGGTTAGCAATATTTACACACGTAAAACTTGTGAGGTCAGAGAATAATACATATCACACTATAAAGCTCCTGAGGAATGCTTCTAACTATATAAAATTTAAGGCACAACGTGAAAGCACAACAATTATTAGAGATCAAATGGAGAGACCATATCATCGAGCTCAAACATTTCAAAACTATTGTTGCATACAAAGGTCAAGTAACTGAAGCTTCAAAGGTTAGACATCCTACTCATTTCCGTGCCTGAAAAATGTTTTCCACTCTCAGAAATTAGATTTTTGCGATCGTACTCTGCCCGTAACCTTGGATTCCTTTCGAACACAAGATACGCAAACGTACAAGCAAGCACTGTTACAATCATCAGGATACATACTACAACACCAATGCTGATTTTGTACAACACTACTTCATTTCTCAACTCAGAATCAAGTGGAGAAAACGTCGTCGTCATGTACTGAACAAGCTGAAAAAGAAATTGATCATAACATTTAAACCACTAAAAGATTTTCATTATTGCGTAAAAAAACTTCCCGCAGCACGAGGATTTTAAATAATTCAACTTCAAGTAACCTAAAACCATTTCATTAAAACGATCGAGCAACACATAAGGCGCAAGACAATTCTCATACTGAATAAAAGTCGAGAACAGCAAAAACACACCGACGGTATATATTGCGTCCAAAATGCGACATCTTCCCAACGAAAATCTCGAAACAGCTTTCCAGGAACTCTAATTCCTGTCAAATCTGAGTAATTGAAGTTCAGATACCAGTGAGCTCTCGGTTCAAAAGCGACCCACGTCTGGTCACTCGGAAAATTAGGGTCTCTAAATGCAGTATAAAAAAAGCCTAAAAGTCGTTAAAAAACTGAATGTTAGTGACTGAACATGACTCCTTCCCACTAAAACTGCAGCAAAATAAATAAATGCCTTACTGGTTGTAACAAAACTGTCTGAAGATAGAGGTGAAGACCTGACTCGCATTACGATCATTCTCTGTCCACTGCACTCCAGTCAGATGACGAGGAAGGAGTTCTTTAGAAAGGAACGGGAACCCAAACAGTAGATACAGATCACAGTCATGACAAACACCTAAATTCTCAATAAAAACCGCATAATGATCTTAATGATTTTTAGAAAACATTAAGACAGAAGAAAATTCAACAGTAAAACGTAGGCAAAGCAACTGTGCTCAGCATATGTTGTGGTCATCATAATCAGACCCGAAAGATGGAACCATCATTGCACTAATTACAAATCAATGACTGAAATTAGAGTAAACTGCATACGCATCCACTTTGGAAGAAATGATGAGTTAGTGCTTCCACGTCCAAATTCATAATTATTAACATAAAGAAAAGTTCTTGATCCTGCAGAGGAATGGAGATGGGCTGATTGTGCGATTGGAGCGACGTAAAACGCATCAGTTGTTAGCTTCAAGTAAAAACTTTTGCTTTGCTTGAGGTAGTTAATTTTAGAATGCAGTGTAAATTTCTTCAAATTCTGTTTATGGAGAGGAGGATTTAGGAAGCATTAAAAACCATATCTTTAGATGTTACCTCAATAAACATCCTTCTAATTGCCTCCGAATTTGCTGGGTCTGGCCAGTATCTGTATCTATCCTCAATTGCTTCTGCAATAGCCTCTCGATTCATCGTATAATTATGCCGGAAAGCATATTCAAGAACAAAACTTCGCATATACTGATCATCGACATTCAAAAAGTCGTTGAACTCCCCCAAGGTCCTATCTTCTAGTACTACCTAAAAGAATTGAAATTACTTGATTGTTTATCGAAGAGAAAGTCACAACAAGAACAGAAAGGAGTATATCTGCAACAACAACTTCCGGCTACTAGCCTCTGCTCCGTCATGCTTATTTAATCCCGTAAGATAAGGGACTGGTGAAGGGTAATTCACTCCTCCTGTTGTCGCAACATTTAACATCCAAAATGGATTATGCAATATTTGTTTACCATCAACAGAGGGGAGAAAGAGGTACCGGTTGTATTCTATCTAAACACAGCTTATTTACCTCACTAAATCAATTAGAAGAGAATATGTTTCCGATAAAAAATTCCTTCACTTCAGATGTAAATTTTTTCCAAAAACCCCAGTAAAAAGGGTAATATATATGCGCGCTCAGTTAGATTCTGACATCATTTGCTCAGTCCCGAAAGATGAATAAACATCATAGCGCGTAATCAAAGTAAGAGACTGACTTACAGGAATTGTTTCAACAGCCCGAAGAATATCATTTGTAGAACGCGTAAGTATGCAGCTCCAAACTTCTGTTGCAGTTGTCTGCGAACAACCAAGATACCTGCCTAATTTTATTGTGTTATTGAAAGCTAAGGCAGGTTTTCCGATAACCGAATGATAGGATACTTCAGCCCCCGACATTGCAGCAGCTGCTCGGAACAAATCTGCAATTGTAGCAAGAATGCAGGTACCGCAACTAACTGTGACCAGTAAAATAAAAAACGAAACATAGTGATATTAGACTATTTAAAAGTTACGTGTTGAAAGATGAGAAAGCATATGAAGACCAACACTGACCGCACCAGCATCATGACCAACTAAAGTTATAGCTTGCGGATCGCCACCGAAAGATGTTATGTGATCCCTCACAAAACGTAAGGCAATACGCTGGTCCTGGAATTACTATGATTTAAAAAAAATTCCACTATTCACCTATATTCCTCTAAAAATGGCAAGCTGGAAAAGACTAGGAATTAACTGGTTCTATTAAAATTTCGTACGCTTAAGGGAAAACTAATGCGTCGTACTTATGCGATACAACAAAATCACAGTAAGGCATCGCAAAACAGCACTATCACAGCCAAACATTCCCGTAACTATTTTCGACCAACAGTGGGCATTAAACAAGTAAAAGTAAGCAAAAAAAAGAATTCTATAAAAACAAACCTGTAACCCGTAATTCCCAGTTTCCGTATCGCCTAAACCCATAAACCCAAACGGTCCCAGCCTGTAATTCACCGTTACAACGACTAATCCCCTCGAAGCGAGAACGTGTCCGGGCCATTCATTCAGCGACCCCGTTTGAAAATTCCCACCATGAAGAAAAACCAGCACAGGATAATTCGTACGAGACGTCACTGAAGTCTAAAACAGGAATCACTCTACTCCGAATTCAACCCATCAAGGTCCCACAAGTCAAACGAGATACTTACATCAGGGGTATAAATGTTCAAGTACAAGCAGTCCTCATTAACTCTAAACGGATACGGATCATTCACAAAAAGAGTTGGCCTGGCTTCTACATTCTGAGCGCAAGAAGGAGGACTATTAAACGCGAAAAAAGGATCCTCGCCCGGTAACTGTGTTAACAGCTGCGGTGGCTAAACAAAATAGAAAATAAGGCATGAATAAGCGCCTAGAAACAATGAGTGTAGAAGTAGCATTAAAAAATGAACACTTCCAAAACTCAACGCGTAAGTTCGTGAAGAGGTTCCAACTTGCTAAAATTATAGTTCAACCCAAACCTTGAATCTGCGTTGCGCAATCGGTGGTTCCGCATATGGAACACCAAGAAACACATAAACTGATACGTTATTGTAGCGTGAAACTGGGTTTGGGTCAAAATGACTACGGTCAGGTGGGAGGTTATCTAATGGGTCTTGATGATGCGTCCAGGGAACATCAACCACGTCAAACCTTTTGCCAACAAGATTACCGATAGACAAACGAACAATCACTTCATCAGTTTCCAACTAAAAAATTTCGAATTCAGACTGACTACAAAACACTTTGGAAATCCTACCGAAAAAATGAAAAACGAATGCATTTATTATAAAGCTTAACAATAACTTACAGGATACGAAAGAATACTGAAAAAGTATTTCTTGAAAGATAAAACCGCACATGTCCAGCAGGCCTAGGAGTTGTGGAGGTTGTCCCAAAAGGATTCCAGAGATCTCGCGATCTAGTTGGCTCAGGAGCTTGCTGAAGCTGCGCAGAACATAATAAGCTAAAATACACAGTTATTTCGACACCCAACGATAACCTTAGGATGGTAATCATAGTTACACAATGACCTGTCTACTCGATTACATTGGGGAATTGCTGTGGACGACCAGAACTATTCCATTACATTACATACTAAAAGAGCAGCTACGAAGAATACGGTATATCTATCGTTTCAGGATTGACAGGTAACTCCTTACAGCAGTATTGCGTCACAATTAATTTTTTCGGTAGCTGTTCAGAAGTTAAATACTATAATGGAAAGTCCAAATATTGGCAGTTTCCCGTCGTCGAGAAAGAATTAAGTTTTTGCCAGTCGTCCTTTTGGGTCAAAAAAGCACGACGGTCTTCTTCGATGCTTTTTTTTCACCCATATATCCGTTTATTTGCTGCTGGAAGTTTCATCAAATTTTTTTGATTGTTTTGGTTACCACATGGCTATTATTTGTTAACGTAGAGTGCTCGTCGTCGTAATACACAGCCTCCATACAACCATTTACTTGGTTCAAGGCAGAGTTTTTTACTTGATTTTGACAAGAACGCTTTTACAACATTTGGAAGATGAAATATTTTTGGATCCAGTTAACGTCGCTGGCACGTTTTCATTTCAGAGTCTTTTCATATGAAGTTAACTAAGTAGAGAGGGTTTAACATTTTTGTTGGACAAAGCGCTTTTCGGAATCAGGAAGGAATATTATACTTAGAATTAATTCATGCCGTTTCTTTTAATTGCTCCAAACTCCTTCTCTAAAGAGTTTTGTACCCTCCTCCCCCTCCCTCCATTATTCAGCCCTTGCATTTAAAGTTGAAGACAAAATCTGCATACATGTTGTCGATTGTTTAAGTGGAACACAGGGGAAGAGGAAGTGAAAGTTTGTGTATTACAGATGTTGTGAAGGGATGAGTAATAAAGAGGTGCTCTACGATAAAGAATTGGTGTTAATTAACTTGGGAGGTGGGGGAAGAGGGTAAAAAAAAGGGTTTTGAATGAGCATTTTATGATGAAAAGAAGCCTGAGCATTGTTTCGAAATGATTGTAATAAGAACATATCTCTGTAATAATAGGCTTCTTTTGGTTTGTTGTTTACGGAAACTATGAATCATTTAACGGAAAATGGTGGCACTGTCGCAATTAAGAACTCTCACTCGCTAAGTTCTTCGTTCGTTTTTAGTCCACCTTAGGTACTGCTGTAGATGCTATGCAATTATTGGTCTTACCGTTGGGGGCACTGTTTTAGATTCTTATCGTTAAGTTTACCAAGTGTTTTTTTTTTTTTTAATATTCATCTTTTAAGGACCTAGTACTAAACTGCGATTTTAGTTTATGTTCGGTTCCAAAACGCTGTACTATGAGTGATTTTTGTTGTAATGAACAAAATTTTTGTTTGTTTTGTAAAGGCGATAAAATAGTAGAGGGTAAAGAACAGCAAACAAAAAAAATTTGAGTTTAGGAATAGACGTGTTCTATTGCAAAAGCAACACAATTTTTTCTCTAGTTAAATTTGATGTTACACTCCTTGTTGAACTTAGTATATTTAAATTTCAAGTGAAATTGTCTTGTAGTTATTGCAGGTTTATGTCTGGATTTGGACTTTCAAGCAAGGATCAAAATAAAGCTAAAACATGACGGAACAAAAACAGCGAGCAGAGCTCAGGGAACGATATATTCGACTTATTTCTTTTCTTGCGCAAAAAGAGGTCATTTCAAAATTTAGTTTACTTGCTTAAGAAAGAGCCTGAACGTTTATTTCTTTTACTGAAATATATATATATTTTTTTCTGGGTCGTTGTTATCTGGAAAGGTTGATGACCATTTATTTCATTCACACTTCTTAAGCACTCATAAGAAGAACACTTCGTCTTAAGAGACGGATTTAAAAATAGTTACTGAGGCTTTTGAAATTAAGCTGTAGTTTACAGCACCGTTAACACCAATTAAGTTCTTAGAATTTGTAGAAATTCAGTAAGGAAGAAACACAGGTTGCTTTGTCAGATGTCCACATCATACCAGTCACTGTCCACTTTTATTTTCAGGTTGAGATACATTTGCACGAAAAAACTTGTGTTCGTGGCAAATTTATCGTAATGAAAGCTGATAGCAGTCATTTTGCTGTCGACATGCTGCAAACCCCAATTGGCGTCGTTAACCACGCAATAATTCGTGTTAGTGACACGATAACACTAAAAGCAAATTTGAACGGGCCAACCAATGAAAGAAGTCTATGATATCCATATTTTTGCATCTTTACTTTTGTGTTTAATTTTCCTGGGTTGCTGCAGAATGGTTTTTCAGTTTATACTGAGTTCTGTGGCTCTACAAAACTAGCATAACTTCATTCGACGACTGTTTCTGTGGCCATTTATAATGAGACTAACCCCTCTACAGATAGCACAATGAGCCAAAAATATTAAAATCAAAAAGCTGAAAACAACCCTCCGTTTCAGAAATTTCCATGTTACAGTGAATCAAATACCTATTTACACAGAGCTTATTTAATGAATGGTTTTTTGCATTACCTAATCGTTATTTCTGCTGAAAGCTTGTGATGGTCTGGAGCTTTAAAAACTATTTATTCTTAACAAATGGTAGTGGATTGATCGTTTGAGAATTAAACACAGAAAAAGATATTACACAAAAAAAGAATCCGTTGCATAAATTCACAGCAGGCAACAGCCATTGGAGCTCCATTTGCTAGTGATTTGTATCCTTGAAGGATAGAGCAGAAAGTAAAGAGATCCGCCTTATTTCTGTCAAACAGGGATTCGGCAAATCATTGATAGATTAGGCCCTTTCTAACACTTAAGAGTAAATCTTAAATTCTGCAACCCTGCCCCTGTTGAATAATATTTAACCCTCCACGTTGACTACTGCCATATAATGGCTTCTGTGTATCTATAAACCTGACACAAGGCTACTTCATATTTGAGTAGGAATCCCCACCGTCCACAGCCCAAAAATTCAACTTTAGAAGTCATCAAGTGCTATTCTTTAAAAAGAGACGTAATTATCCGTATGAACGGTCATCGCCTCCATATAGGTAACGGAATCCAGTACGTCGAAAAATCTCCCACTCTTCATCGTTCAAGAAACTGTCGCTACTACTGGTTACTGGGAATTTTTGCACGATGTGTTCTTGCCCAACAGGATCGGGAAGGGAACATGGAGCATGGAGCCGTCCGACAAAGCTAATCCGCGAAATTGTTTCGGCATGCCCATCCTCTACTATGGTGAAGAAGAAGATTTCACAGGAATAAAAGGCGAACCCTTGATTAAGATGTTCCGGTAATTCTCTTCAATACCAGACGAATCAAATTCATCTCCTTCAAAACTGGTTCTCAGAAAGGAAACTGACATTTCTACAACAGCTGCCAAACAGGTCACTGCATCGGTCTCGCCGGAAAAATTAAGTTTCCTACTAAGGAAACCAGGTACTACGAGGGGAAGGTCGGTAAAAGAATAATGCGTTATCCCTCTGAAAACTCATTCTCTTTGTCAGAAAAACTAGCCTTGAAAAAATTTGGGTTCAAAAAGTCGTGTTTGGTAACGATGTATCATATTTCACAAGCATGAATACTGAAAAAAGGGTCAGTCAAGATTATAATACCTTAAGGTAAAGATAAGTTTTCTCGGCTCTTCGCTTCCAACTTGAAGCATACTCTTCACGTTTTCCTGCCATTGGAAAGTGTCAGCGTTGAGAAATAAAACAGGTTGCTGAATCCGTGGGTATAATTCCTTCTCGATTGGGAACATCCAGCCATCCAACAAAACTGCGGCCTGAAAAGTTGCAACATGACATTCAGTGGACTTTAATTACTAAAAAAAATACTACAGAGAGCACAAAACAAATACATACCCTGAATTCTCCTGAGAATGCTAGAAGTGAGACTGCTGTAGAACCGCCAAATGAATGCCCAACAGCTGCAACACGGCTCAAATCTAAATGTCCCTAAAAAGGGACAGAATAAATATAGGCCGCTCAGCGTCATGAAAGTAGTTATCAAAAACTTTTAGTTTCAAATATAGCGTGACTAGCGTGACTTTTAGCCTTTCATTCCATAGTTTAATTCTTTTCCAGCAACTCTAATTACTGAGATGAAGCGAAAATTGAACTGCGCAGTAAAGAGTGACTCATAAATGTACCAAAAGTCGGAAAAGTATGAAATCAGAAACTGCTCTATATTGATTAAGAATAAAATAGACCGGTAGCTTACTTTGAGTTGGGTCCAGTCAAAGTCTTTGCCATATAGGATAGAGCTGTTCTGAGAATCATTCACTTGTTTATTATGAAATCCCAGATTTATTTCTTCTAAAACGCTTAATAGTTTGACGCATTCGGCAACTCTTTTATGTAACTGGAACGATACCATAAAGTAGAATGTAATAGTGAAATTTAAGCCGTCTTTTGGTGAAAAAATTGCAATGACTAACCTGTTGGTTCCTAACCCGGAATTCATTGTCTAGCAAAGTAAGTTGTCTTAAAGGAATCGACTTTTCATATAAATCATTACCGTTACCATATTTTTCTAATGAGTACGTCCAACATGCCGACCGGTCCCTGAATAAAAAAAATCTGCAATAATGCTAAGTAACCTCCCACTCTTCTAAGTACCTAAAGTAAAACTACAGCAGTTTTTCCTAAACATATACAGAAAAATTGACAAAGAATAACCTATGCTCGATCGCTGCAACAACAATACCATGGCTTGCGACCGAAACACAATACAAAGAAGACATTAAACGACATGATGACAGCCCATGGGAGAAAACGACTATCGGGAAAGATAATGCAGATGAACCGCTTGATTTTAACCTTACCGGCCTGTGAAAGATGCAAGGCAGCCTTAAAAATAGTCCTCGAATGGTTGGGAACGAATGAGAATAGCACCGAAATTTGTAGTTTTAAAAGATGTGCCAATATGCAAGTTATGAGTCCCTGTTGCTTAAAAAGCTTCAGACTGGGTGAAGGAATAAAACTTTATAAAGGATTTTTAGAAATTAACTTGCCGACGGTCACCAACAAAAAGATCCAATAAAAAATGGATTTTTCGAGGTGAGATTTTTTTATAATTCGCAAAACCGTCAACATATTCTTTTCTAGGCCGCCATGTCTGATTTCCAGCAGATGGTGATGAATCAGTCTAAAAAAAATATAATATAATAAACTAAAAAATCATCAAATAAGCATTTAAAGCTATTAAAGTGAATAGAGTCACAAATACTTTTTCTTCTGCAGGATAGAATATACGAGCAAATACTCCTATATCTTCTTCGTCATTCGCTCCAACCATGATATCCGCACAACCAACTTCGTACTGCCCGTTACCGACCACAGGCAGTGATTTGCCACCAGTAAAACCACGATTTGACCATAAGGATGTTGAATTAACAAGTCCCATGTGAATTTTGTTTACTGAATCTACCTAACTTCAAAATAATTACTGTTAAAGTTGTTAACACAAATTCTATTTATTAACTAAAAATCAAAAAAAGCAGGAGAAAAAAAGCTGTAAGGTACATGTATAAGCAATACACCTAAGTGTAAAATCTAAAAAAGTAATCGCATGCAGCCGCTAATAAAACAAATAAAACAGCTTGGCTTTCAACTGTAAACTGGATTAAACGACGACTAACCGTTTATACTTCACGCAATTCCATTTATGTTCAATGGTATAAAATAACGGATAACATTGTTGCACACAAGGGTTGAATTGCTGAAAACACTGATTTGTCAGCCGTTGAAAAAGTTTTACGAAAAACAGTTAGAAATTAAAAAATTTGAAAAATGCAAGAAAAGAGTAACTTCTGATATTAAAAAAAGTGTCAACTTATTCGAAAATTTTTCAAATCAAAAAGCATTAAAACAGGATAATAGATAAAAGTCAGTCAAATTAAAAGGTCCCATATTACCCAATAATGAAATAAGTAAACCATCGAAATTGTTCAGTTGGAAATATCAACAGGCACTATCACAAGACCATCTTTACTCAAAGACCTGAACTATTTTTAGCAGCAGAGCAAAAAAGCAGAGAATTTCAATTTCTACAGAACAACAAATACATTCAGCAGTACTCAACAACTACCATAGTGTTGTTTTTTTTTTTTAATGTAAAGCAAATAAATAAGGCCAACTTTTGAGTGTAATGCCAAGACAAATTATGGAACCATAACAACATGACAGATGTTGCCATTTTTCCGTAGAAAAGCACAGATAAATGTACACACTTAATGCTTGGTGTTGGCAGCAGTAGAAGGAAAGTTTAAAAAGAAGGAGAAGGCAAAATGAAAGTGTCATTTAGTTTATTTATTTATTTATTTATTTTTTGGATCTCATCCGGCATTTTCCTCCTCAGTGATACAAATAAAAGTAAAGTTTTTGACTTCTCATGCATTCAATACGAAAAAAGTTCAATATTTTTTTTTTCGCATTTTACGTGGTAAACCTGCTTTTCCTCTTAGCTGGTAAACCCAGAAACTCACGGCATTTTAAAGATATTTAAACTTATAAACAGTCTTTTGTTTACTGCAAATACATTATATGTGTACGTTACCCGCTGTTTTTTTTAATGTCATCAGACTTTTTAACTACGTGGACAACATCACTCTTTTGCTGTCGTAATCTGCCTTATGAATAAGTACAATTTGGGCTTAAAAAAGCGTACAAAAAAGCAAAACAAAAGAAAACAAAGTAAAAGAAGATGAGATGAATAAAAAATAAAAATAATGGGATAAAGAGGTTAAATTGGGAGGAATAGAAAGATAAAACTAACGATTTTTAAACTAGAAAAAACAACTGGTGGCCTTTCTGCTGGCTTTCTAGTAAGAAATCCTGGTAATCCTATAAGTGGCCATAAAGTCTCGTTGCATCACCACAATTTTTTTCTTTGTTTTACTGAAAGTCAATACGCTCAAAACATCGGTTTAAAAAGTTTTTTCATCTTTTTGTCTTATTTACAGCATCGGAACTAAACAGTGGAAAACAGCAATAAAGTATAAAAAAAATTCAACAGTTTTCTAACCTTTATAATTCCTATAAAGTGTAAAAACTTTCTCCTATCAATCAAGAAGCTTCCAGGCAATTTGTGGTTTTTGTAAAAGTCAGTAAAATCTGGAAAACAGAAAAAAAATTGATTAACGATTTGTTCATGATTATTAACATTAATAGGTGCTCTATTACAATCAAAATCCGTTAACACTTTTCCAGCAAAGAAAAAAAAAA